AAACAAACCAAAATGAAATATTTTCAAATTCATCTTTTTCCCTCCCCCCCACTCTCTGTCTGAAAAACAAAATAAAATGAAAATAGCCATATGTCAATTTTTGCAGACACGAGTTGATCTTTTTCCTCGTGTTGCCACACGGATGGCAGCTGCCTCGTCATCATAGGGCTTCTTATCTGCTAGGCTCATCGACCTCCACGCCTTCATTAGCGCACCTTTGGTCTTGTAATTGTGTTGCTCGCGTTTGCAAAAGAGACGAAACGCCGTCATTGGGCTTCTGTACGCTCCCAACATCTTTCCATCGTCACTCGGCACATTTGCCGTCGTTACGGAAGGAGAAGCGTCTGTGACGTCCCCGCAGCACGGCAAAAGAGTCGCTACAACAGGAGACTCTAATGCAGCTGACCTCCTCTTTCCCTTCTTGACATTCCCTGGTGCATCCCTGCTCGCCACACGATGCACCTTTGAGGTAATAGCTGCAGCCAACGCAGACGCGGCGAGTTCGTAGCGCTTCCGTGTTTCAGCGTCAGCGGCAAGCCAACACTCGGCGTGGAAGCGCCTTCTGTCGTAAAGACTTTCGTCCTCCAACTCTCCTCCCACAACCTCCACAATTCTGTTCTCGTCCATACCAACGTCTCGCTGAACCTCCGTGTCGCGGCAAAACAGCTCAAAGGCCGTTGGCACCGCGTGGGGCAAAGCCGGGGTGGATGCCCCATTGCCCTTTGCAGGCGGGCGGCGCGTCCAAGCCGCGCCACCTCTTCCATTAATAATGACACCTGTAGAACCCCTACCACGAGCAGCGTTAGTTGTAAAACCTGTAGGAGATGATACACCGTCAACAAGGATAAAATTTGCCTCCCCGCACCCGGGACAACAAATAACACGCTGATTGCATCGGCAGCACTGGAATGCAAGTGCTGCTGGCCGTGACACCTGTTCATTGCTGACGCTGATATGCGCTGCCATAGTCTCCGCTCCTCAAAAACCACACCCACAACAAAAACAACAGGAATAAGAACAAAAACTCTGGGCTTTAATGTATACACGTAATTCTGTATTTATGTATGCGTTTCTAATTTCGCTCTTATCTTCGATCGGATTTCCCATTATGTCAGAAGGAGGGAAAAGGCACAGAGAACGCATAACAAATCATCTATTCACACAAATCCTTCCCCTTCACGTTGTCATTCCGTTCTTGAGACGCTAAGAAACCGTCTTGAGGAATGAGAGGGAGGGGTGGGAGAAGGTGTGCAGCGCACACACGCATGCATACTAGGAAGAAACAATCTCCAGCAAGGCAAATAAAGGAACCGATGCAAAACAACAGCAGCGACAATGCGGGGACAACAACAAAAAAAAAAAAAAAAAAGACTGACAAACGCAGTTTGCTCCTCCCTCACAGGCCTCACACGTTACACGCACGCACAAACTATAACTCAGACGCACAGACACGCTCTGAGGAACTTCCTGCTGTCACGGCGTTATCAGAGACCCAACTCGTCGAATCCTCCCGGAGAACTTCACCCACGCTCCACACCGGCATAAAATCACCGAAAATGCCGGTGCGAAAACAAATCACAGGCCACCGTACGTCATCATTAGCCCTTTCACCCCGTTAGCGGGAAAGAATACGGGAAGCAACTCCAGATTTTTCCTCCTCCTCCTCTTCCACTTAATGTCTCGTGACCGCCGGCTTCGGCCCCGTCGGAAACACAAAATTTTGTGAGTCAGCTGAAGGCGAGGTTGCCATTTTTGTCGTGGGATCCACGTGGCGTGAAGGCCCCCGCTCCCCTGGCTGCAAGACTACATCAGACTCTTCTTCTTCGCCCTCTTCTTCGGTTTCTTCTTCTTCACTCTCCTCAACCTTCTCAAATTGTTGCGGTTTGTGTTCTGCCGGGAGCAAGTTTTCGTCCGTCAACGATGCCGATGGTGTCATTTCCGGCGTGGCGACAGCAGGGGCTACACTTTTCAGCTTCACACGCAGGAGCTGTATTTGCGCTGTCACAAACTCATCGCTTGCCTCCCGGCGGAACACAAGTCGAATGAGCTCCTCCATCTCATGCATCGAGAAGTGCTTGTAATCTCCGCTGGTTATGAGGTCGTTGGCCACGTCTTTATTCGGCAAATGACGCAGAAAAGTGGCTGGACGTGAAAAATAATGCTTTACCGCGCCACGGACATCATCGTCGGTGGGAAGAATCAACTGCAGCGCCGTCTCTATGGAGAGGAGGTTCGCCCGCAACCTCGCCAATCCAGCATGGGATATGGCCTTTTCACGGAGGTGTGCAATTTCCACCATGATCAGTTCGCTCAGCGGCTTGGCGACGGTGATGCCCACGTACTTCAATTTCTTCTCCGACAAGTGCAACTTTAAAAGGGCAAAAAAGTTAATGATACGACGGTTGTAGGCCTGAACAAACGTGTCAGGGGAACGTGTGGTCGCCACAATGTTGTACGACTCATCGCGCAGCTGCGGAATGTATTGAAAAGCCGCAAAACGGGCTTCCAGAGACAAATAAAAAAGACATACCTGCGAGATGGTATACATCTGCCGCATTATACCACCCAGACGCGTCCAGCGCGTACTATCGCTTGGCTTTGTTGCTGCCAAAGAGGTTGACCACCGGTCGTGACGTTTAAAAAACACCGTGCCCGGAACGAGGCAATCGGTGCTGATGCCGTAATGCCAACCGTTCTGCCAAACCGTTTGAAGAACAACGTCACACAGGCACTCCATGGAATAACAGAGCAT